ACTGAACACAAATTACTGGGCATAATTTTAGACATGAAATTGACGTTCGTGCCCCACATAAAAAATCTCAAAAACAAATGCCTGAAATCTATCAATTTATTTAGGTCTTGTCACAGACGTCACGGGGAAGCGATAGAAAATGCCTGACAAATCTTTGCAAAAGCCTTATACGCCCACGCCTTCATTAAAGGGCGATAGTTTATGAGTCTGCGGCACCGAGCGCTTTGAAAATGCTTGAGCCTCTTCATCATTTGGCATCCGTATTTCTGCGGGTGTTTTTCGTTTTAGTCCCGAAGAAAGTCTGTTCGTAGAATCGAACGAGTGGTTGTTGCGGCAGCATAAAACTTACATGTCGTTTGTGTATTACCTCAGGAGTGAACGCAAACAAGAAGCACCCCTTAAACTCCACAATCAATGACTTGTCCAGTTCCACACTGTTTGATTTGATTGATATGTGGGGTTTAACTTCCCAAAACCACCATATGTTTATGAGAGACACCGTAGTGGAGGGCTCCGGAAATTTCGACCACCTGGGGTTCTTTAACGTGCGCCCAAGTCTGAGCACACGGGCCTACAACATTTCCGCCTCCATCGGAAATGCAGCCGCCGCAGTTGGGATTCGAACCCGCGACCTGCGGGTCAGCAGCCGAGTACCTTAGCCAATAGACCACCACGGCGGGGCTTCCACACTGTTTGATAAGCGTCCTTCGTTTCGGCAGCCCTACTCGCTTCATGTGAGCAGCCTCGCTGGGAAAACGGGAGTGCCACTTCTTGATCAATGCCTGACGGCTCCTGCAGCACATTCGCCACCTTCTCAATAGAAGCTCATAAATGTGATACATCCTTCGTGAAAGTTACGCAACAGGCACCTGTGGCACATATATGCACATACTTTTTAGAGCTTCAACACACTGCCCGACCTCTTTACGGAAGCGTAAAAATCTAATGCTTCTGTGTCGTACGCAGGCCCATATATTTGTCATGCGGGCTTATTGTATTCTGATAGAAGCATCTTCACCACAGAAGCTTACGTGGTTCTGGTGGCCGTTCAATTCATCAAACAATTAAAACTGCAAAAGGTAGTAATCTACACAGATTCATAAAGTGGGCTAAAATGTCTTAATAATCCTAAAGAAACACAAAACCTTGTTCTTGCTCTACTTTACTCTATATTATTGACGTTGTACACAATCAAACAACTCGTCATAGTATGCTGGGTACCAGGACACCATGAGATCCAAGGTAATGTATGGCGAACCAGCTAGCTGGATCTGTCCAGGAAAACACTGCCAATTGATTGATAGCTTTGCCCGCGCTTGACCTCAAACCTTTCCTCAAATGACAGCTCAGTGCCTATTCGCAAAGCACATGGGACACCCAAATAATGGACAAAGCGCATGGACACCCAAAATGAAAATAAAGTGCACATTATGAAGCCACACCTTGGTGACTTACCGCCATTACCGATGTACCACCATACAGACGTAACACTCACAAGACTGAGATTAGGACACACAAACATTACACATTGATTGCTTCTGTCCGGTGGTGATCTGCCTTTGTGCGAGAGATGTGGTGAACCACTCACCTTTCTCCACATTTTAGTCCAGTGCCAGGAATTATACTCTCTTAAAAAAAAAACATTTCACCCGTCACCTACCGAGAACAAATAGCGCTTCACCTATCAATGTTCATTAGTAGGAATCCAATTTTCAATCGTCAGGCGCTATTTGCGTTTTTGAAAGAATGTGCGTAAATTTAACGTAATCTACCCTGGTAATCTGTAGTGCAACTCCTGAAGTGAGGTCATTGCGGCAGAAGATACAGCACAAAGCACCTGTATCACGGCCTTTGGAGACAAGGACATTCGTGCTGTATCATCTTTCCGTATCATTATTATCAGAAACACAAGCCACTTATTTTTTTTGTACACGTTTCATGTCACTCTCATGGTTTTAAGCCTTTATGTTTTACTCGCAGTTAGGGCGACGAAATTTTAGGCCCCTATACAACCAGTCATCGCCATCCTTGCCCTCATCTTCTGTCTAATATATACTGGTGCTCTTTGGCCAACATATGGCCCTTGCGCCAATAAACACCACATGTGATTATGATGGAACAGTGCAGTGACGAATCTCAAAGAAGGTCTGAGCAACATAAGCACTGGCTCACAACTGATTGCTTTATTGAAGTGAAACGGAAAAGCAAAGGAAATAAAAAACAACGAAAGATACGCGCGCACCCGATGCACGTGACAGTAAAAGATACGAGCAAGTTTTTTCTAAATATGCCAGCTCTGCAATCCAGTAATGCCGTCGACGGTGGGCTAACACACGTGTCATCAGTTTTTGATGATAGCAAAGGCTTCCGCTGTTTCTTTGATGAAGGATTCAGTGCCCCTGCAATCAATGGTCGTGCGGCCGAACTTTGGGTGCCCTCACAGTCGGCCCAGTGGGCGGAGAAATGGGAGAACGGCGCATCTTTTAAAGCGCTATGACGCTCACGTAGGCGTATGTTGAGACAGCACCCCGTTTTCCTCACATTATATTCATCACATGACAGCGGAAGGGAATCGACATTATTTTTTCCAGGTGACAAACGGCATACGGTGCTAGACTGTGCGCGTAGTTCTAGGACACATATTCACACTCGAAGATGACTTATCAATTCGGGCACACAGCGTCTGGAGCCTATTTTTGGTAGAAAAATTCACGTCAGCGTTCAACTAGTTGGGAATTTATTTTAAGCTGATGAGAAAAACCACTAATATATGAAATCACCACTAGTCTCATGCCATTAGCTCATTTGGCCTTACGTGGTTCTTCTTGAACAGTTGAAACTTTGTTCAAAACTTTTAATGTTACGGATATAGTGGCATGGCGGGAGAAGCCTGGAATTTTAGATGCTGAACTAAAGCTTGAGGACATTTTGTGGACACCAGATTTTGTTAGTGCTGAAACAATGGTGTTGACCACTATGCCAGATTTCACAATGTGGGAATATCTCGTGGAACGGCTGAGCAAGAGCTTCCTGGATCTGAGGGAAAACTCCCAGCAAACATATTCCTCATAAACAAAAGAGACAAATCCAGAAGCTGAATAGACCCTTCCACAGGACCTTCACACGTAAACGTAAGGCCTTGTCGTCTTTTTTGAAGCATTTCGCAATGTTGATCTTGCGATTTGCTAAGTTTTCTTTTTTAGCACAATGAAATATGTATCCGCTAATCAAAAAACTTCACCATTTCAGTCAGAAGCTTATTCAAAACAATGTTATTGCTACTAAATAAAACGTCGCAAAACACCGGGGCTACTCGAGATCCTATGAAAATACCCGACCACTGTACGTACACTTTATCGTTCCATCCAACCAAACTTGAGGACAAGTAAAGCCTAAGCAGTTTTAAAAAGCTTTCAGTGCTGATAATGCAACTTCTGATGAATTCACTCGCATCGTAAAGAAAAGGAAATACGAACCGCCCTCCTGGCTTACAGTAACTAATAACATGACAGGTATTCCGTATAAGAAGTCTCATGGTCTACAGAATACAGCTGATTGATGTAGGGAAATGGTTGTGTTTTGCGCGCAAAATAAGCCTAGACGGATTTGCTCCATGGTGCACAATAAACAGCTTTCAGGGGTCTGCCCAATGGGCAAAGAAAAGTGCGGTCAGAATCATAGCAATTGTTCCTTCGAAATATTGTTTAAGAGTTGCTAACCCAGTTCCTCTTTCCCGTGTTCACAAATGTATATATCGGCCAGATTGGTCGATGCACGTGCCTCGAAAAACATGAAAATTCACTGAATTAGAGCCTCGAATTGTGAGTCATGCTGAAGTAATACCATATTCGAAGGTGTGGTCATTTGCTCGGTCATGCTAATCAGACCACGCGAGAAACCTCGAAGGCATATCGCAGTGAACAACAAACTTTGTGCAAGTCAACCTTCTCTATCGTCACAAGACAAGGAATTTGACATAAATCATCGACCGTAAAGATGCGCCTTGGTTGTTTGCCTTTTAGGATTCTTTAGGATATGCGCGATACATCCCTATTTGCGTGCAACTACCTTTAAGTCGTTAGCGCGCGCTAACTGTGTGTATGTGTGTTTATTTCTTGCTGCTTCTTTCTTTTTGCGCTCTATATGCCTCATACAAAACGGTAGTTACTGTTTCAACGAGGGTTTGTTGGTGCCCATCATTAGTTACCTATAGACTATTTCCCCTAAGACGTGTGGGCGCTGCTCTCTGGTGTTTTCGTTTTTCCATATATTGCGACGCCAATCAATATGGCCGTGAAACATCGTATGCTCAATTCCAACCGTTTTTAGTGCGCATTAGTCTACCGTAACACTGTTTATTTACTTGTTAAAGACGCTTAACACGAAGGTTAACAGTTCACATGGTTGCAATAGAACCCCTCCATAAAATAGTCGAGGCGAGCTTCGCACCTCGGCGCAGGTGACGGGTCATTGATGTTAGCGATGTGGTTACAGCTGCCACAAGTAAAATAATTGTAACACAATTTGTGGTAGAAGCCCTCACGGGATCCTCATTGTAGAGGCGAAAGACGACTGGCGTAGTGTAAATTTAATCAAAAATGTTTGAGGGGCAAAGCTCCTTAAGGCGTGGGTCGTGCGTCTCCTGTATGTAGTAGCCACCTCTCGTTTTAGTCATTAGAATGCCCGCTGGATGGTGGTGCTTGTATATGATAAATATGTGATGTTAACATGCAAGATGGCGGAAGTGTTCACTAGACAGACAGACAGACAGACAGACAGACAGACAGACAGACAGACAGACAGATCGACGGACGGATGGAAATAGATACGACAGACGCACGGGCGGACAGACATACATAAAGACAGACGGAAGGCCAGACCGACAGGCGGACGGACAGACTAACAGACAGACGGACGTACTTACGCAGCCAGCGGATGATTCACGGTTTGCCGATAAAACCCTTCGAAGCTTCGCCCAGCTCATCATCATTCACTCGGAACATAGGCTGTGGTTTTTTATTGGCACATCGTAATCGTTTGGTCCACCCTGCAAGGATGTGATCTGGTAAAGGTGTGCGACTAAATATCTTTATATGCATAAACTCTAGGGTAACGGAATCGCGTATTTTTACATCATTCTTGACGCTGTTCGAGGTATTTGCGGTAAGCATCGATGATGGAGTGGTTCCATGGCATCCAAGGTGCCGGATCCTTGATAAATTCGGTCACTGTTCCTATGGCCCGCTCCAGGTACTTCCTCGAGTGATCTTCCAGCTTGTTTGTCTGCTCTTCAGTCAACTGCTTTCCCATGAGCACTCGAGATGCGTCAACCACTTCACGAATACCGGGCGTGAGCACGTGCACGTCGTACTCGAGTGGTTGTGTGAAATTGAGCTGGTAGTCTTCGATTTCCAGGGCCTGGTCGATCCTGAAAAAAAAACAAGCCTTAATTATTTGCATGAAAAGGTTCAATGCTTTCATTAGTCTCGTAGAATATCCCACTAAGTGCAATATCATGCATTTCTCGTGTCTCTCTCACTCATCCAGTAATTTCGGCTATGCCATCAATAACATCAACCTCGAGTACAAAACATACAAGTACCTCGGAATTCAGCTCACGAATAACCTTTCATGACATGCACATATTGAATACATAACTAAGAGTGCATAAGATCTCTCGGGTACACAACAGAAAATTTCCCAAAGATCCATGTCAATTAAAGTTACTATACTCTGCAAAACAATGATTTGACACCAGCTCGAATGTGCTTCTTCTGTTTAGCACAACGGTAAAAAAACTATCCTTGACTCAGTTGACAACTGTTCAGCACCTTTCATTATTGAAACTATTCCCACACAACTAGTGTTCCCCTAATGAAACCGGATTTAGGACTAACAGATTTCAAACTTAAACGAAAAATGTCCTGCCTGAGTATTTGCAAAAAAGGCTATCTACGGAATTACTTAACCTAAACAGGAATTCATTTAAGGAGCTTCTTATATACCATCACATCTTAACCATCAGTGCAAAACTTTCATTCTTTTTTGCCATAATCATGTTTTTTCAGACTCCTTTTTGCTAAATACTAATGTGGCGTGGAACCACGATAAAGAACCCCAGGTGGTCAAAATTTCTGGAGCTCTCCACTACGGCGTCCCGCATAATCCTATAATAGGTTTTTGAATTCTTAATTTTTTTTGGGCAACAACAGAGGTTGCCCGGGGGCTATGTCAAAATACAACATTTAAAGTCACCTGACTAGGCCCCTAGCCCCAGGCAGCACAATCACACAAGCACTAGTTTAATACAAAACAAAAATAGCTTAGAAACCATAATTCAAAACCTTATACAATTGATTGTTCAAATATATAAAAATATCAGGCAAACTATACACAGTTTGTATTCATTTCTGAAACCTGTAGTCAAACCTAGTAAGCATCAATATGTGTAATAAAATAACGCTTGTTATACACAAAAAAAGTGTTTTCTTTTACAAAGATTCAACCCAAAAGCATTTCTACAAAAACACAAAAACACGCTCGCACAAAATAATGAAGCTACAAATGAGGAGAAAGAAGAACATGACCTTATTGCTCGAGTAGAAGCTGTTTAACTTTTTTCCGGAAGGCTAGCAAAGAAGAGCAGCTGTGCATTACGTCAAGTAGAGAAGGGTACAAATTTAAAAGAGTTGGTAGCTGCCATTGGAACAGTTGTGTGCCGTAACCTGTCCTAGTCTGATTTTTTCCTTCAATGCAGTGTGTCCATGACTATAATGCTAATGAACATTAGTATATAATGATAAAAATATTTCTGTTTCTGATTGTAAGTTCAGGAAGACTGTTTCAGCTAGGCGTTGATTATATTTGTCCTTAATAGTCAATATTCAGCTATATTTAAAATAAGAAGAAACATATTGTCGACTTGGTAAGTTGGGAATGAATCGTAAACGACGTTTTTGCATTAAAGAACATGCATGTTTGTTTTTGACGTAGCGCCCCAGATTAGTACACAAAACTGTAGCCTTGTGTGAACAGCATGCGAAGTTAGTTTTAGGGCACCAATTGTTTGGGCTACACTACGTTTTACATAATTTACATGATACGTCCACCGAAGAGATTCGTGGAAATAGACACCAAGGAACTTACATTCTGAAACTTGTTGTGTGATGACGTTTATTCGAGCCGAGAAGTCGCAGCGAGGTCGCAACGGAAAGTGGGCGTACGGCAAGTCTGGCAGAGGCGGCACAAACTCTCGCGCAAGCAGAGCACGGGCTTTTTGTTGTCTTCCGAAGGCGCATACGCGTTGGTGCGTATGCTCCACTACAATACCCCCGGGATGAAGGGTAGCCATCCTGGCGACTCAGGGAGTAGGCACAATGATGGGGTCGTAGTAGGGCTTGAGACGGTCGACGTGTACGGTCTCGCGTCCTCGACGGCGCAAATCTGGTGATTGTGTTAACGGCTCGATGATGTAATTCACCGGGGAGGTCGCGTCAATGATACGGTACGGACCATGGTACCGGGCCAGAAGTTTGGAAGATAGGCCAGGAACGTGCGGGGGCACCCAAAGCCACACAAGGGAGCCAGCACGAAATGTAGGAGCTATGCGGTGAGCGTCGTCGTGTCGAGTCTTTTGTAGACCTTGAGCCTCACTTGTCAGAGACCGAGCCAACTGACGGCAGTCTTCAGCGTATCTGGCGACTTCCGAAAGCGGGGAGCACTCAGATGCATCAGGGCGGTACGGTAGTATAGTGTCGAGGGGGTGGGAAGGTTTCGCGGCCGTACAATAGAAAGAACGGAGAAAAACCGGTAGTCGCTTTGCGTCGCGGTGTTATAAGCGAAGGTAACAAAGGGCAATACAGCGTCCCAGTTAGTGTTGGTCGGAGGAGGTGTACATCCTCAGCATGTCGCCAAGTGTGCGGTTGAACCGCTCAGTAAGACCATTTGTCTGTGGATGGTATGCGGTAGATTTCCGGTGGATAATGTTGCATTCAGCGAGGATAGCTTGGATGACCTCCGACAGGAACACTCGACCCCTATCACTGAGTAATTCCCGCGGAGCACCATGGCGTTAGAATGAAGCTGCGGAGAATGAAGAGTGCAACTTCGTGGGCGGTCGCTGCCGGTAGAGCTGCAGTCTCAGCGTAGCGTGTCAGATGATCGACTCCGACAATAATCCACCGGTTTCCAGAGCTACTATATGGGAGTGGGCCATAGAGGTCTATACCCACGCGGTCGAATGGGCGAGCCGGGCACGGCAGCGGCTGTAACATGCCGGTAAGGTGCCGCGGAGGTGTTTTGTTCTGTTGGCAAGTGGTGCAAGACTGAATGTATTTATGCACAAAACGATACATTCCTCGCCAGTAATAGCGTTGGCGCAGCCGTTCGTAGGTTTCAGGACACCTGCGTGAGCACTTTGGGGATCTGCATGGAAATTCATGCAGATGTCAGAGCGCATATGAGTTGGGACAGCAAGGAGCCACTTCCGACCACCAGGCGTGTAGTTGCGGCGGTACAGAATGTTGTCACGTAAGGAAAAGTGGGCTGCTTGCCGGCGTACCGCTCTCGTGGAAGGGACAGAAGATGGATCGGTAAGGTAGTCGACTAACAAGGCAAGGTATGGGTCTTTACGCTGCTCCGAAAGCATGTCAGTGCTGTCGAGTGGTGACAAGGTGGTAAAAGGGGGGTGACAGAGAAGCCACATCTGGTGTTAATGGCGATCGGGAAAGTGCATCGGCGTCCGCATGCTTGCGACCGGAACGATATACGACACGGATGTCGTATTCCTGCAATCGAAGTGCCCAACGGCCCAGACGTCCGGACGGGTCTTTCAAGGTGGACAGCCAACATAGAGCGTGGTGGTCTGTGACCACATCGAAAGGACGGCCGTAAAGGTACGGGCGAAACTTCGTAAGCGCCCAGATTATGGCCAAACACTCCTTCTCTGTCACGGAGTAATTCAATTCAGCCTTCTTAAGAGCGCGACTTGCATAAGCGACTACGTATTCGGTTTGGGTACCTTTCCGTTGTGCCAAAACTGCGCCAAGACCAACGCCGCTTGCATCAGTGTGAACTTCTGTGGCAGCAGTGGGGTCGTAGTGGCGAAGAATAGGTGGCGAGGTCAGCAGGCGGCGCAGCTGGTGAAATGCGTCGTCACATGCAGGTGACCATGCAGATATACCTTTGCTGTTGGAAAGCAGACTAGTCAGAGGTGCAATGATGGACGCGAAGTTGCGCACGAAGCGACGAAAGTAAGAGCAAAGACCAACGAAACTTCTTAGGGCTTTCAGTGATGTGGGCATGGGGAAGTCAGCGACAGCTCGAAGCTTATCGGGGTCCGGAAGAACACCGTCTCTTGTGATGACATGTCCCAAGATGGTGAGTTTGCGGGCTGCGAAGTGGCACTTCTTGGTGTTAAGTTGTAGGCCTGCAGAAGCTAGACACGCCAGAACCTCGTGGAGACGACGAAGATGTGTCGGGAAATCAGCTGAAAAGACTACGATGTCATCTAGGTAACACAAGCAAGTTTTCCACTTGTGGGCCCGCAATATGGTATCTATCATGCGTTCAAACGTCGCAGGCGCGTTGCAGAGCCCAAATGGCATGACTTTGAACTCATACAGGCCATCTGGCGTTACAAAGGCTGTTTTAGGGCGATCACATTCATCCATTGGCACCTGCCAATACCCAGAACGCAGATCCAAGGATGTGAAGTACTCGGCGCCTTGTAAACAGTCAAGAGCATCGTCTATTCGTGGTAGCGGGTAGACGTCTTTCTTTGTAATCTTGTTTAAGCGGCGATAGTCCACGCAAAATCGAACGGTGCCATCTTTTTTCTTTACCAGAACCACGGGTGACGACCAAGCGCTTTGAGAAGGCTGTATGACTCCACGTTTAAGCATGTCATCTACTTGCTCCGTAATGACGCGGCGCTCTTCGGCAGAAACGCGGTAAGGACGCTGTCGCAGAGGCGAATGTGAGCCGGTGTCAATAGTATGAGTGACAGTCGTGGTGCGGCCCAAAGCAGGTTTCTGAAAGTCGAAAGTTGGCTGCGATGCGAGGGGGGAAGGTCTGCGTCAATAGCATCGTCGAAGGCTGGTGAGCTTGATGGCTCAGACGCCTGAGTGATTGCGGCAATCTGACATGGCGTTTCGTCGGGAAGAATAATATCATTGATATGGTCGACAGGTTGCACATATCCTAACGTTTCACCACGAAGCAAGCCAATGGGGTAGTTGCAGTGGTTGGTAACCAGCATTACGGTTAAACCAGACGCAATCGTAAGAACGGAAAATGGGAGCACGATGCCCTTGCGTTCAGTAAAAACAGGGGATGGCGTAAATACCACCGTGGCGTCAGGTTGCGCCACACATGAAAGGCTAATAGGGACTGAAGCTTCCGGAGGCAAGGTGATGTCGTCGTCAGCGA